GCTCAGGTGATTCTCCCACCTCAGCCTCCCAAGTAGCTGGGACTACAAGCACACGCCATCATGCTCAGCTAATTTTTTTTTTGAGACAGAATTTTTTTTTTTTTTTAAGCACAAGGGCCAAATGTTCCATGTTTATTTACGTATGAAATGTGCTTCATACAGTTATGATGGATGGAGTGCATAACACCTGACAGCAGCAAGATCTTTCGCGGAACGGAACGTTGACTACAGTATATCATGCAAGTATCTATATATACACAAAAGAATTCCTTTTCTTAAAAAAAAAAAAAAGTACAAAACAAATGCAGGGATAAATACAAGATATAAAATGCAAAAGAAAACACAAAACAAAAAATAGAACTCTCTCAGAGAACTATAAACGGAAAGGACAGAAGAGTACCTCTGCTGCATTTTAACAAAGCAGAACTACTGACGTTAAATATACTTCTTGAAATGGCTGACCTAAACCTGGGTGGCTCAGTGCTTAACGTAACGGCCAACTGGAATACACATGCAGCTGCACTGAGAAGTCGGTGAAGTTGTGCATTCCAACTCTAAGTACCAGAACGTTTGGCAGTAGCACCCAAAACAGGAAACGCCAACTCTTTTGACAGCAAAGCGTTAAGTCAACTGATTTGTTTTTTCCTGTCAAGAGCCAGAGAAATACTTGATATTCTTAGTTGTATTTCTGTAATAGTTAATAAATTACATGACAAAAACCTGACTATAGAAATCTATTGATCTAACTACGTATTTGTAACTTTTATAGCAGTCCGGCCCTTTCGTTATGTCCCTCCTTGTGCTTTTAAAACCAGCCTTGCAGATCTGCCCAGAAAACCAGTGCCAGCTTTTTTTTCTTTAGAAGATCCTTCCCCATTCCTCAGAATGGAACTGAGGAAACAGCATTCCTTTAGATTCCTGGCTTCAGTTTTTATCCAGGCTGGGAAAGGAGCGACCTGCAAGGTTGCTTTAAACCCCCGTGGGCGTGGCCTGAAGACACAGCCACGTCCACACAGGCATGCAGGTGTAGAGACAGAATTTTTTTTGTAGAGCCATGGTGCCCAGACTGGTCTTAAACTCCTGGGCTCAAGCAATCCGCCCACCTTGGCTCCCAAAGTGTTAGGATTACAGGCGAGAGCCACCTGGCCTGGCATCAACAGGTAGTCCTAATAGCTGGGCTGATTCAGCCGCAAACTACTGCTAGACCTTACAGCACACAGCGCTGGTGTGAGCCAGTTAAGAATAACACTCTATTATTTATTCCTGCAGTCTACATAATTTCCATTTCCAGGATGAAACATACAAAACACTTCTCAAATGCATAGGCTCACATCTATCAATTTTACTTGATATGTATAATTTGGTATCTCCTACGTGACATCTATATGAAATTTGTATTTGATCTACTCAAGATTGCACTACTTGATGTCTACACCCACGTATTCAACACATATGTATCAAGAGTGCTCTGATGACAAGAACTATCAGCACTAAAGACACAGCAGAGAGGGGAACAGACCTGTGACCTCCCTCCTGGGGCTCATGATCTGGTTTACCCTAAACAGATAAAGCCTCAAGGAGCCTCTTCATGACTACAGTGGTGGGAGTAGGGGAAGGCTCAGGTACATCTCCAGAAAATGGAGCTCAGGCTGAGCCCCACAGGTTCACAAGAATTAGCCAGATGCTTGGGGGCTGGGGAGGAGACAGCCATGAGGGTCCTGGGAGAGAAAAGTGCCAACATGCTGCAGGGTCTGTGCTTAACAGCAGAAGGTGGAAGAGAAGCAACCCAAGAGGTAGCGCAGGGGGAGCTCCTGCAACCCCCAGAAGTAATTAAAATATGCTCACGGCTGCTTTTTAATACAATTGATATTAAGTTTTTTAAAATAGGGGGAAAAAACCCATGCTGAAAAAATTAACAGATTTGCTTTCATTTTAAATAAATTCCTCCTTTATCCAATGCTACCTAGAATGTGGAATCAAGATCATAAAATCCTTCTGCTTTCACTGCTAGTAAATGAATTCTTTACAAGCTGCCAGCCTCTCAATAATTTTCAGCTCTTCCTAAGGAGTTCCAATTAGGCAGAAAAAGCCACCCTCCCGTACCCCACCACCTGCACAATTTGTACCTTATATTATTTCCTGGAGTGACACAGTCTGTGCCTTGTTTGATTATCTAATTACAAATACATTGCCCTTATTATGCACTCATTAAATGCAACTCTTGGAAATCTCAAGGCTTTTATTAATAGCTTATCAGCCCCTAAAGATATATGTTATTTAACTTATTTAATTTTTCAGAGTTATACTCCTAAAATCAAACTACTTCTTTTATGTGTGGTTTCTTCCCTATTGTGCTTTTAAGAAAAAAGACCAAAGCATGTAAGACTCTAGAGTCAACATCTGGGACTTCTGTACAACGCAACAGGCTGCCCTGTTGAGTCAAAGACTTTCACTGCTGGAGGAGACAAAATTCACCAACAAATTCAGCAATATGAGCAGGACTCCAGCCAACCTCAGACAGACTAGCCAAGAAACGCAACATCCATGTTGGGCTTCATCAGTTTCCGACCTCCGACGGAGTCCTTCTGAGCATGCCTTGTAACCCCAAGTGAATCCTCAGCCTGTCAGTTTTGCCTTCTCTAGTCTTTAGGACACTCTTCCAAAGGCAGTAGTAGGTGATTCACTGAAGGCACAGCATGAGCACTCACACTCAACACTTGAAACAAGGTGAAGCTCCCTTTACTTACTATGCTTTAATGTGGTCAGAGTAGCCGTGTGCCCAAATCCCATAAAAACGCCTTTCTCTTGAACAATACTTAGCCCAAGCTGTTATTCAAATATTTCATCTTTTAATTACACATATGAAATACTGCACTAACAGATATGTGAATGTTTCTTATGTCCTTCACTACAATGCAAATGTCTTTACACCTTTATTCTCAGAAGCCTTCGTTATTCAGTTTTTTTAAATTGTACTTTGCTTTTCTTCTTTCAAACCTACTAGATGCCAAGCACAGTCAAGCTCTTGATGTATACTGTTTACTTTAATTCTAAGCCTTATTTTAATCATAAACATTGTACATTGCTGGCGGGAATGAAAAATGGTTCAGCTGCTGGAAAACAGTTTCTAACCCTCCAAAGTAAGTTACATTGTTGTTCTTTTCTTAAGGCTGAGTTACAACTAAGGTTCAAAGAAACTGGATAAACTAACTCAAGGCCTCTCAGTCCAGATTCCTAACCAGCAGACTTACCTTGACTCCATGGCTTGTATTTTACACTATTTTTCACTATACCATACTCTCTCCCTTGACCCTAACTGTTTAAGGAACCAGCCCATCACTACTACAAATGCAATGACAGGAACAGGGGCTTAAGGTAACCATGTTGCAAAGCAGAAAACATCAATATTTTTTCAAATTACAATTTTCAAATTGTCAGCCAATTTAGGAAAAGAATTGCAAGATTATACAGGAATACACGCAATAAAACACTGAGAAATAAAATCCTTCACAGGGCACAGTTGGGTGGTGGGTGATATTTGGTCTTTAAGAGTAATGTTTATCCCACTCACTATTTTTTAATTGTCACACTGTAATTGTATAGACTTATGGGGTACAATTTGATGTTTCAATACTCATATATGTCATGTAATTATCCAATTCAGGTAGTTAGCATATCCATCACCTCATGCAGTTTTCATTTCCTTGTGGTGAGAACATTCAAAAGCCTCTCATGGCCATTCTGTGATATACAGTACCTTGCTATTAACCACAGATACCCTACTGTGCAAGAAAATGGCAGAACTTACTTCTCCTATCTAACTGTAACTTTGTACCTGTTGACCAACCTCTCCCCATCCATCTTCTCCCAGCCTGGTAACCACTGTTCTACTCTCTGCTTTTATAATATCAACTTTTTTTTTTTAAGATTACACATATAAGTGGGATCATGCAGTGTTTGTCTTTCTGTGCCTGGTTTATTTCACTTAACATGATGTCCTCCTCCAGGTTCATCTATGATGTTGCAGATGTGCCAGGCACAATGGCTCACACCTGTAATCCCAGTGCTTTTGAAGGCCAAGGAGGGAGGATTGCTTGAGGTCAGGAGTTGGAGATCATGTTGTTACCAATGATAGGATTTCATTCTTTTGTATAGATAAATAGTATTCTGTTGTACACACATATATGTATGTACATATGTATATATATATATATCATGTTATATATCACATTTTCTTTATTTATCTCTTGTTGGACACTTAGGACAATTCCGTATCTTGGCTATTATAAATAATGCTTCAATAAACACAGGAATGCAGACATCTCTTCAACATACTGATTTCATTTCCTTTGAATATATACCCAGTAGTGGATTGCAGGATCACGCAGCAGTTACATTTTTAGTTTTTTGAAGAACCTCCATACTGTTCTCTACAATGGCTGTATTAATTTACAATCCTACCAAGTGTGCAGGTGTTCCCTTTCTCCATATCCTCATCACCACTTGTTTTTCCCTTGTCTTTTTAATAATGGCCATTCTAAGAAAAATATCAACTAAATAAATAAGTAATAGCCATTCTAACTGGAGTGCCGTATTTCCTCATGGTTTTGATGTGCCTTTCCCTGATGGTTAGTGTTGCTGGGCATGTTTCATGTACCTGTTGTCCATTTGTATGTCTTCTTCTGAAAAACCTCTATTAAGGTCTTTTGCCCAGTTTTCAATCCAGTTATTAGGTTTTTTGCTCTTGAGCTATTGAAGTTCCTTATTATCCCACTCACTTGAAGTGCTTCAGAAACCCTAGGAGAGGGGGCAGCAATGTTGTGTGTTCTTTGCACTGTCTCTCTCCCACACGCTAACGTCACCTGCTCTTTGTTTTCTTCAGAGCTGGCTGAACTTGTTACAAGAGGCTGGAGATGGTATCAAAGTGAACACTGTATAACTTTACTTCCTTTTCAGAGTAGCAAAATCACTTCTGCAAGCAGAAGTTTGGAAACATCTATGCTCTAACCTGCGGGAAAGATGGGTGCCTCCCTAACAGTGCTCAGAGCCCAGGAGGTAGCAATGGCAGCCACATCTGTGCCTTTGGTTTGGACTTAGTGTGGATGTACAGACTTCCACCAGAGAAGTTGGCCACCAGAGAAGTTGTTGTGATGATCCTGCCCCCTCAAAAGAGAGAGCTACAAAAAAACACTGGAGGAAACAACTGTGTTTCCCACCCATACCCCTCCAGCTTTCCATAACAGTCAGACTGCCAGGTAAACAGGAAGCCGAGAAGAGACAGGAGATGTTCCTGTTTCAGGCAATCAGTCCAAAACACTGGGCCTCTACTCCCATCCAGCTTTTAAGAAAAAAGTGGGATCTGTCATTCATGCATATAGTCACCCATTCATCCATCCTACAAATGTTTCCTGAGCATATGTGCTGGGCACTGTCATAGGTAAATACCTGCCTATGATTTAGCAATGAAGAAAATAAATAGGTATATTGTATATGAGAATGTGAAAAGGAACTATGGAGAAAAATAAACCTGGTGACGTGAAGAGAGAGTGTGTGTATATGCATGTATGTAAGCAGGAGGGCCAATTATAATCTTCAAGGAAACAAAAGCTGATAATACTTCTGAAGTTAGGCAATTCAGATTACTTCAACCACCAGACCTCCTCTGTCTAAACTCCTACTGTCTAACACAAATTCAGCATCACAATAAAGGAAAAGAGCCTTTACTGCTGTCTTGCATTTTACTTCCAATCCCTCTTAGGCCACCACGGCTTCCTTCCCTCCAAACAAAAGTCTAGAACCCACCAGAATGTATCACTGTAGCCCCCATTAGTTTAATAAACTCAATCTAGGTTTTAAAGTCTTAAATTGCTAAAAATCTGCCACATTAGAATTCCACATTTTCCAAAACCACCACCACCAGAGCTGCCCTGTGTCCCACGGGTCTTGACTTCACAACAATCCTAAGTGGCCCCATGAAGACCAGCCCCCACAGTACACGTGGTAGGTCCCCACTGCTTCATCAGCACTGGCCTCCCAGCTCAATGCTCAAAGGTAAAGTGTCTGGCTGCAGATGTCATCCTTTCACAATCAACAGGATCTCCAAGAAATGCATCAAGTGTCCTCTGTCTTTTTGTAGACTTTTCCCCCTTTATGGTTGATCTTGTTGCCTTTAAGCATAAGACAAGTCTGCACATCCACACTAAGTCCAAACCAAAGTAAATACTAAGGAATGCCAAAACCACAGGTATAATAACAACATGGAACCTGCTTGACTTTGGAATGGAACAGGGAGGGAATTCACTGAGCTGATCACAGAGAGACTCTGGACAACAGTCAGAAACCCTTCTGGACAGGACGCAGGCCTGAAGCCAGACCAGGCATCCTATAGCCAACTCTGCCCTCTGTGTCTGGACCCATCTCACCCATTAGATGGTGAATCAGCTGAAGGTAGCTGGCCCTCACCTCCTGCTGTCAGAACTCTTTCCAGAGCAGTGCAGAACATCCCACATATGTGCAGGGAACTAAGTGAATGAATGAGTGTTTAAGGGACAAACTGTCCTTATGTTTCTCACTTCACAAATCTTAAGTCCTTGTCCTCACTCTCTACTAAATGAAACATTTATAGACCAGGAACCGTGTTAAATGCACCATAAATAAAGATACACTGCCCTCAATGAGAGGGAGAGAGACAAATTCCTCTTCTGCCTTTTCGCCTCCAATGCCTCTCCCAGGACACCACCCACCTCCATTTCCTGAGAGCCTGGGCACTAAGCACCACAGTGCGGCCCGGGGCACAACAAGGCCACTGCAGCCCCTGCCTCCTGCACAAATCCCTCCCCCAAAGCTCAAAACAGCTTCTGGAGCAGGCCCACGCCCTGCCCAAGTTGTCCAAGTTGACCCTGCCACTCACCAGGACCACGGGTTACCAAAGCACCCTACCCATCCACCCCCATCCGTAATCCTAACTACCCTCTGCTACTTCCATGGGGAACCCTGAGCTGCCCACGGCTCTCTCCATGCAGCACCCTGCCAACTCCCACCCACTTACTGGGTCTCAGTGTAAGCCTGCCCTCCCCTAACCCAATCACCAGCTTTCTCAGAAGCTAAAGTCTAGCAAAGGCCATTCCCTTCGCACTTGGTTCTGTGGTTTCCAGGTGTGTTGGTACCATCTCTACCAGACTCAACCTCAGAGGAGCCTTCCCTAGATGGTCTGAGAGCACAGAGCCGCCAACTTACCAGGGGACCTAACGTAGGTCCTTTGACCTCTCTGGCCTCTGTCTTCTCCTCAGTAGAACAGGAATGAGACAGATCTAAGGTCCCTTTTATTCAGATTCCAAAATTTTAAAGAAAAATCATACAGGTCCCCTAGATACAAATGAAAAAGTCTAACTGTTCCTTCACTGACCTGTTTAAACAGGTGTCCCAGCTACTGCAAGCTGGCGTCAATTTCAAAGAGCTTTGGATCACAACTTTTAGGGGAAAAAAAAGCTGTTTTTTCAACTTTACAAGCCTTTTTTTTTTTTCTTACCATTCCCAGTAAGACACTGACAGAGAGGAAAAAACTGATTTGTTCAATTTTTTTACTAAGATCACGAGCTTGGGATTCACCCAGCCTCGGTTTCCCCTCTGGGCTCAGAGACGGTCCCCGCTCGCCGCGGCCTCCCGAGCTGCGCCCCGCGCGCACCGCCGCGCGCCACCAGCCGCGACACCACCTGGAGCCTCGGGCGCCTCCAGATGGCCGAGTCCGGGCCGGCCAGGCCACCCCGCTGTCACCTGGCCCCGCACAGGAGCCGCGCCGCTCCAGGGCGGCCCCGCCCCCTCCGGCCACCCTCCAGCCGGCGTTTCTCCATCGATTCCCGAACCGAGTCCGGCCTCCAGCTCACCGGGAGAGGCGGCGAAGACACCTGCCTGGCCCGGGAAAACGCACTAGCCCGGGAGCCCCTCTGCCACCACCTCAACGGGAGCCCGCGGGAGAAACGCAGAAAAAAGGAAAACAAGCCCGCAGCGGGGCCGTCTGGGCCCCGCGTCTCCCAGGAAATCGCCACTAGCGACTCAGCCCGGGACCGGGGGCCGCGGGCCCGACGGGGAGCAAGGCCCCGGGCCCGGCCACCGCGCTCGCCCCGGCGCGCCGCTTACCGGTGAGGCGGCCGCCCCCCTCTCCGTGCCCGCGGCGCCGCTGCAGGATGAAGTAGCAGCTGCTCTTCTGGGTCACCCAGAGCTTCAGCGCGTTCTTCAGCAGCACCTCCTCGGGCTTGAGCCACATCGCGACGGTCCGGTCGCGCCTGCCGGCCCCGGCTCACATCTCCCCGACCGCCGGCCGCTGTGGGCCAAGCCCGCTCGAGAGGAGGCGGCGAGGGCGCGCGGGGACCGCAGCCCGGCCAGCGCCCAGAGCTGTGGAAGCCCGCGGAGCACAGCGGGCGCAGCTCGCCCCGCGCACCCAGCGCAGCCCACACGTGGCCCCGCCCCGTGCCCGCCCCGTGCCCCGCCCCAGCCGTCGGCCCCGCCCCCGGCAGCCCCCACCCCGCGGCTCCCGCGGCGCCTCCCGGGTTTCCGCGTCCCAGCAGCTCCGGCCCACAGTTCCGGAGTGAAGGGAGGAAGTCCAATCCTGCGCCAGGCTCTCTCCCTCCCGCCCCGCCGCGCTCCCAGGGGGAACTCCGGAGAACCCAGGGCCACGACCTCGACCTGAGACGTGGAGGAGGGACCGGGCAAAAGCCCTCCTCTCACAGCTGCAGGTTGCCCCACCGAGGGCATCTCTCGTCGGGGGCGGGGGTCCAAATACACGCCAGAAAACCTAAGTTTGCTGGGTTTAAAACAGCAGCAACAGCAATTATAAATAACCAAAAAATAGCATAAGAATTAAAAACATTATTTTCCCACGTTTTTAATACTTGGTGCACATTTTGGATGCTCTCCCCGGGGATCCGACAGCGCTGTAGAGGCGTCAGCTATGTTTTGGGATCCTAAATAAAGCATCAGACCAGATTCAGCTCTGGACGTCCCTCGAGGGGCCAGGAGGTACCGATATTAGGGCCACCGCAGTTGGTGCCCTGGCCAGAAATAAAACCTTTGTTCTGAGAGAAATTGAAAAGCTGGAAAATATGGAGTAGGCGATGTGAAGAGGTCAGGTTTTAAATGCGTAGTTCCTCAAGGATGTTGTGGAAGCAGACGCACGGTGGCTGGCGTGGAGCAGGCTGGGGGACCTCCAACGGTCTCCACAGGGAAGCAGTTACATTCAACACCCTACCAAGCAAAAGAAGGAAAGAACAACCCCATCAAAACATCCCTGGGGTTTTGACAAAGGAATCCCTGACAAAAACGTGACTGATAACTAGGACAGAACTGAAAACTGGAAGTAAAGTCAATCCCACCGCCCCTCGACACACACACACACATCATCACCCCGACCCCCTTGGACGCCTGGGAACTAAGGGAAGCGCCCCCAGAAGGGAGCAGCTCAGAAACCCTGACCGGACCTGGCAGACAAGAACCCTGTGGGTGGAGGACAGGAACGCCCACCCAGAGGCCAGGAGAGCATGGTCCAGGACTGGCAGCCACTAACAAATAGCCTCTGAATGAAACAGAGGAAGGAAGTCAGTGGTAATCGGGACCATTAGGGTGCACCAGGGCATATGGAACATTCGGGGACGGTAAGAAAACATTCCTTCCAGAGACATTCACTAGCACCTCCTGCGCAGGCCCACTGCCAGGCCCGGAATCCCAGAGATGAACTAGGAGACCTGTCTGCCCTGAAGAACTCACAGGTAGAAAAATCAGGCAGAAAAGTGCAGTGGGCTTCCTAACAGGAGCCCACTGTTTGACAGGAGGTTAAGCAGGGTAGGTCATGTCTGGTAAATGGATCAGCACAGATGACCTTGTGGTTTAGAGCAGCCTCTGGTGGCTGATAGCCCCAATCCAATCCTGCAACTGCTGCTAGTAAGCTGTGTGGTCTTGACCTTGGGCAAGATACAAATAAGCCTCGGTTTATTCAACTATAAAATTAGGATAATCATAGTGCCTCCTTTGTAGGAACTATCAAGAGCATATTGTAGTTAAGTACTTAGAAAACAAAGTAAGTACTCAACGAACATCCACCATTATTATTAAATGTACAAAAACTCCTGAAACGGTTCACACATCCTAACCCATGTTTTAAACATTATTCAGCTCTAATCTGCCAAAT